CGGGAGGGATGCGGTGGGATCTCGGCGGCTCACGCGCCCAGGCCTGACCGCGTGCGCCTCCTGGTGGCGGCGGAGAGCCCAGACGCTGGCGGCCGGGGAGCCGGAGAGGGGAGGAGCTCTGGGCGCCGGGCGGAGTGGGCAGGTCAGAGACAGGAGGTGCTGGCAGCCTTCGGGGTTTTCGGACGGTGGAGACGGCAGCCGGGGAGACCCAGGGAGACAGTTGGAACGAGCGACCTGGGAGACGGAGACACGATCAGAGCCCGAGAAGAGCAGGAACGCGGACGGACCTAGGGTATGGCCGGGGCCAAGTCACGCCCTCCTCTTCCCCGGTCGCCATTTCTTGACCTGACCAAACGGTGGGAGACTGACTAGGGAGACTGAGGCAAGAGTTCCAGCGGGGCTGGGAGCGCAGGGCTAGCCGAAGCATCAGTTCCTCGGTGGGACAGAGAAGCTGGGTCACTTCCCCCATCGGTGAAATGGGCATGACATAAAACGAACACTGCTTCACCCCAAAAAATAATCTCGAATGCCTACTAGAGTGTGAAAGATCCACTACTGTACTAAAATGTGTCCTTTTCTCCAAGAGCTGGGGCTACGGGGAGCTGGCTCAGTCTGAAACCTAAGCCGTATAAAAATTGTACCGTGATACAAGGGCAGAGGCCAGGTGAGCCGCACACTCTTTTTTCCAGAAAAATTGAAAGAATTTTACAGCGAACAGCAGTAGAACCGCTAATGTAGAATGAACAAGGGTTTCTGAAGAAGAGCAATATGGGGGAATGAGACAACCTGATATCGGCCCAAAGGCGAACAAATAGGACATGAAACAAACCAGAAACTCACCCATACATAGAAACTTGTGTATGTCAGAGGAAGCATTGCATTTGGGGAGACGGAAGGAGGCAGTATGATGGGCTATTTGGTAAATTGTGTTAAGAAATCAGGTTAACCAGCCAGGCACAGTGGCTCACTCCTGTAATCCCAGCACTTTGGGAGGCAGAGACGAGAGGATTGCCTGAGCCCAGGAGTTTGAGACCACCTGGGCAACTAGGTGAGAACTCCTCTCTACACTAAGTCAAACAATTAGCTGGGCGTGGTGGCATGCACCTGTAGCTCCAGCTACTTGGGACTGAGGTAGAAGGATCGCCTGAGCCCAGCAGGTCGAGGCTACAGTGGCCATAAGCGTGTGCTGCACTCCAGCCTGGACGACAGAGTGAGACTCTGACTCGATAAAATAGAATAAAATAAATCAGTTTAGGCCGGGTTTGGTGGCTCAGCCTGTAATCCCAGCACTTTGGGAGGCCGAGCCGAGTGGATTGCCTGAACCTGCGAGTTTGAGACCAGCCCAGGCAACTTGGCAAGACCATCTCTACAATAAATAAAAAATTAGCCGGGCGTGGTAGCGCATGCCTGTAGTTCCGGCTACTTGGAAGGCTGAGGTGGAAGGATCACAGGAGCCCAGCAGGTTGATGCTGGGGTGACTGTGAGTGTGCCACTGCACTCCAGCCTGGGTGACAGAGTGAGACTCCAACTCAAAGAATAAAAATAAAAATCAGGTTAACCATTAGGAAAAGAAATAAAATCAGACCCCTATTGCACATCATATACAAAAAGTCAATTCTATGTCAATTAAAGACCTAAATTTGAAACGTAAAAGTTCAGGCTAGATGTGGTGGCTCACACCTATAATCCCAGCACTCTAGGAGGCTGAGGTGGGAGGATTGCTTGAGCCCAGGAGTTGAAGGTCAGCCTGGGCAACATAGTGAGACTCCATCTCTACAAAAAATAAAAAAAATTAACCTGGTGAGGTGGTGTGCACCTGTAATCCCAGCTACTCGGGAGGCTGAGGCAGAAGGATCAAGCCCAGGAGGTCGAAGCTGTGGTGAGCTGTGATTGTGCCACTGCACTCCAGCCTGGGTGACAGAGTGAGACTCTGACTCAAAAAAAAAAAAAAAAAAGTAAACATTCTTTTTGGAAAGAAACAGGAAAATATATTGATTACATCAAGGACAGGAGAGATTTTTTGTGCGATACAAACGCAAATTGTAAAGGAAAAAATTGAAAACATATCCACAATAAAATGAAAAACGTTGTTAGTGAAAATATCATAATAAAGTGGCAGGAAAAGCCACTAAACTGGGCAAAGTTATTTGCAATCAAATTCATACACAGAATATATAAATACGTAGATGGATACAACACAAAAATGGGCATTTGACAAAAAAGGAAACAAGAATGGTCAATAAATGTGAAAAGATTATTGACTTAGTTACTAACCAGGGAATCACAAATTAAAAGTACATGAGAGATTGACTGGTAAAAATTAAAAAGTTTTACAATGCCAAGGATGTGGAGCAATAGACTCTGTACATTGGTTGTACAGCCTGGTTATATTGTACTGGTATGGTACAGCCATGTTGGGAAACTATCTGGCATCCAATAAAACTGATGGGGCACACTCTCAGGTATTCCACTCCCGTGCATGTACTCTAGATCAGTGGTTCTCATCCCAGACTGAACGTTAGCATCATCTAAGCATCTTCTGAAAAATACTGATATCCAGCCCCTACACCAAATCAGCTTAATTACTTTCTCTGGAGGTGAGAACTTGTTGCTGTTAATTATTAAAAACTTGCACACTTGGTGATTCTAATGAGCAACTATGGCTGAGAATTATCGCCTCAGCATGTGCAGAACTGGCACTGCTTGAATAGTGAAAGAGTGGAAACAGCCCAACTCACCATGCTGGGAGGAGATAGACCCTACAACAGAAAAATCTGAATGAACTAGTTATGTGTAGTACCTTGGATAATCCTTAATGCTGAACACAAAAAGCAAATCTCCAAATACTATGTGCTACCTAAACCCCAGAACACCAGAACATGTAAGATCAAAGCACAAGCATCAGTTGTGGTGTGTTTTTATACACTGGTAATGAACAATCTGAAAGGAAAGCAAGACTGTTTCATTTACAAAAGCAGGAAAAAGAATAAAATACCTATGGAGAAATATAGATAAAGAGGGCCGGGTTTGGTGGCTCAGCCTGTCATCCCAGCACTTTGGGAGGCTGAGGCCAGCGGATTGCCTGAGCCCACGGGTTCGAGACCAGTCCGGGCAACTTGGTGAAACCTCGTCTCTACAATAAATAAAAAAAATTAGCTGGATGTGGTAGCGCGCACGCGCCTGTAGTTCTATCTACTTGGAAGGCTGAGGCGGAAGGATCGCCAGAGCCCAGCAGGTTGAGGCTGCGGTGGCCAAGAGTGTGTCCCTGCACTCCAGTCTGAGCAACAGAGTGAGAATCCAACTAAAAAAAAAAAAAATATATATATATATATATATATATACACACACATAGAGAGAGAGAGAGAGAGAGACAAAGACAAAGAGGTGAAAAATTTGTGTGCTGAAAACTACAAAATGTTGCTGCGATATAGGAGACCTACATAGGCCGGGCAAGGTGACTCACATCTATAATCCCAGCACTTTGGGAGGCCAAGGTGAGAGGATTGCCTGAGCCCATGGGTTCAAGACCAGCCTGGGCAACTTGGTGAAACCTTATCTCTACAATAAATAAAAAAACATTGCGTGCCTGTAGTTCCAGCTACTTGGAAGGGTGAGGTGGAAGGATCACCTGAGCCTTGCAGGTCAAGGCTGTAGTGGCCATGAGTATGCCACTGCACTCCAGCCTGGGCAGCAGAGTGAGACTCCAACTCAAGAAGGAGGAGGAAGAGGAGGAGGAGGAGGATTACTACATAAATGGGAAGACATACATATTAGTGGATGCTGACTTAGTATTGTTAAGATGGCAATACTACCCAAAGCAATATATAGACTCAATGCAATCCCTATAAAAATTCTAATAATCTGCTGGGCTCGGTGGCTCAGCCTGTAATCCTGCGCCTTGGGAGGCTGAGGTGAGTGGATTGCCTGAGCCCGCGGGTTCGAGACCCGCCTGGGCAACTTGGTGAGACCTCATCTCTACAATAAATCAAAAAATTAGCCAGGTGTGGTAGCGCGTGCCTATGATTCCAGCTACTTGGAAGGATCTCCGGAGCCCAGCAGGTCGAGGCTGCAGTTGCTGGGAATGGCCACTGCACTCCAGTCTGGGTGACAGAGTGAGACCCCAACTCAAAAAAATTCTAATAATTTTTTTTGAAGAAATGGAAAAATCCATCCTAAAATTCACATGGACTGAGAGGAGCTCTCTGAGTGACCAAAATATATGGGGGGGGGGGGGGGGGAAAAAGG